CTTCGAGTCTGTGGTGATGAGGCTCATACGAAAAATTACCCTCTGCCTCTAATTGAAGAATAATGAACATTGAACATTACTGAAATATGGGATTAAACGTAAAATGATTTGCTCGGTAAATAGTGAACACCGGGTCACGCGATCAAACTTCTGCTTGTCACGCGTGTGGAATCGCACGGAGTTTACCGTTTCACATCAAATCTAATGTACTCGGTGTGCAATTCCGAAAGTTCCATGAGTTATTCGACGATAAGTTACTCAGGAAAAACAAATTACCATTGGTCTTAAAGTTCAGTGACATAAGACGTGTTAACTTTGCACTTTCCCTATCCTTGGGTGTTTTCTTTTTGCATTACTGTGTGGTAAACTAAAAAGACAACCTCGTTGGATCTTATGAGGAGTAGAAAAAGTTTATCCGCCCTATTCGGGATTCGATTCAGAACTTCAGAGATAGAATGTAGGGTTAACAAAACCCAACTGACCACTGGGAAGTTTATCAACGTGTCTCATTTTGTATGCACATGGTATAGGACAGCATCTCTTCAAACTTATGCCACTAGTCTCTTACCAGGCAACGTTCACAAATAACCACTGTCGGAACCATTCTCCTCCGGTTAACCAGGGTTCAACGTGTCGTTTTTCTCCGTAAACAAACTATAGGATGTTAGTCAATAGATGTGCAGATCAAACAGCTTCTTCCTTTGAAAAGCTGACCAACAGATCACATGTAGCAGGTGTACTACATTCCCTTTATACAACATTAAAGGAACATTTTTAATGTGCCGGGTTCCAGCCGTTGTGTCTCAACTATATAACACTCATAAAAAGATGAGGGCTGCTCAGAAGTACGATCTCCGAGAGGATAAGATCTGTCAACTGGCCTTATGCCAGTTTTCAAGCTTACAGTGGTTATTCAGTCGAAATGGGGTAGTATTTTCTCATGGTGTGTTTAAAATAACCAAATTTTATTGTTCAAAGGGGGAATTCGTCGTGTATTTGTCAAACGAAGCGTGAACTGAAACTAGGAGTCATTTTACAGCTGTTTCCACTTGCATAGTGCGAATCCATAGACCCAACTGGGTATCGAACCTGGGAACTGATAGACAGACAGGCATGCATGCTACATACTCAGATGGTCAGACCGTTTTTCATTTGGTTCAGTTGTTCGATGCATGTCTGTCATCATTAGCTTCATAACACAACTTTCATGCTATTTGTTCCGAGAGGACCACGATAGACCGCAGGTTTATTTATGCAAAACAGAAGGCAAAAGTCATCAGGGTCGTGAGGAAGAGGTCAACCACTGGTGCACATGCCATATTCCACTCGTTCTTGAAATCAGTGTAATTGCTTATGTGCTAGCATCGGATAGCGGCGGTACATCATGAAAGAAAGAAAAAAGACCACTGGGAAATGAAAGAAATCTAAACGCAAATAATTACCTTGCATAGACAATAACATGACCGAACTGCAAACTTCCCGTGTGGGACACAACCGACAGGAGTTCGTATTTCGGCAGCGGCTTCTCGTATCCGTCAAGGTTCTGAAACACGGTATCCAAATTGAGTTTGGTCAGCGGGAAAGTCACTCTGTCGTGCATTTTCTTCGCAATACCCGTGCCTGGGTCCAGTCTGTGTCGCATCAACTGCAACGATAGTAGATGTGGAAGTTTGGAGTAGATCGATTGAAATCGAGCCGATCGACGCGTCCCGCATTCTGTGCAGTTCAGCGCCTCTTCTCCTTTCATTAGTGTAGGACTGGCCAGTGAAAGTAAGCAATCCTCCTGCGAAATGGGATTGGATGCACCGATGAAATTCCTAAAATTTCTTTTTTCTTATATGGTGAGGGGTGGGTGTCTATGGTTGTGGCTGGTCACCCTTCCCTTGCACCTCACGAATGGCTCCCATACGACCCAGCGTCTAAAAGGCCTCTGCTGAGGAAGCCCTGCTCACCGCCTTCTCGTGGCAGAGGTGTTTTCTCACCAAAGTGAGAGGACGAAAAGCCGATATACGAGGCTATAACCGGGTTGATTGATCACTAGTAGTTCACGTATGGGAGTTGGCCAAAAACCCTGATTACAAACCAACCATGAGGAGGCGTATTAACCACACAACTTCCTGGTGGTGGCGGTGTTCACTAACTTGATTGGGCATGGAGGTGTATTAAGCACCTTGGACGTTTGACCTCCATCCCAAAGACATTTTACCCGATGAACAGGACACCGACCCCTAATGGACTGCGGTTTTCACACACCCCCCCCTGCATTGCCGGTCAGTCTTTGGCAAGATGAAGGCTCCGATTGTAGATTCCGGAAGAAAATTCACTTGCTTTGACCCGGGTAACCTGGCCGTATTCCGCCCACGTGCAAATCGTGGAACGTTATTCCTTTTTCCAAAGATTGTTTTACCATAATTTGTCTGGATTTAGGCGTATGTGAATATATATATATATTATATACGTTCGAAATGAGTATTTCTATTTGTCACATTTGTGAAAGAATCGGAGTTTAACAGCATCATTATGAAGATAATCCTACGACCTACGGGTAGGTGTGGGCCACACCATCCAATTTTCCCCAATCGATTTCCATTTTTAATTTGCAACCGTTGTGGACTTGAAAGCTCAGTTGACAGATTGTATTTGACTCCGTCGTGAGCTTCAAAAACAAATCTACTGCACAGGTAATCCCTCATTCGGTTACCGTTGCATATATATATATATATTTATATATATATATATATGTACGTGTGTGCGTGCGTACGTGCGTGTGTGTGCATACGTTTCACAGCTCCCAAATACACCAAATTGAACACTATCAATTGCAATGCCATACATTAGGTCACATG